CTCTGCTGCTGCCTCTGTCCTCTGTTCCATCAACTACTGGAATAGCCTCCTGGCATTTGAACTCTACACCTCTACTGTCCATTCACCACAGCCAGGGTAATCTTTTCTAAACATAAATGAACTTGTATCACTATCCTGCTTAAGTACTCTAGTGTGTCCCGTTGTGTGGTGCTACAGGATAAGCATTGGACTGCTAACCACAGGGTTGGCAGTTCAAACCCACCAGCAGCTCCTCAGAAACCCTCTGCAAGGTTGCTATGAGTCAGAACTGACTGTGGCACTTAACAACCACAACAACACTGGTGCATCCCATTGCAATATTAATAAAACCCATACACCTTTCCATGACTCTCAAGACACTTTACATTTTGCCCTCTGCCTATCTCAAATCCATTACTGTTACTCTCTGTCACTTACTAGGCTTTATCCACTTTTGACTTCTTCTGGTCTCTGTTGTTAGGTGCTGTGGAGTTCTGATCATAGCAATATAAGGTTTCCAAGGAGTGGCTGGTGGATTTCAACCGCCGACCTTGAGGTTAACAGTCCAGTGATTATCCTACAGTACCACATCAGGACTCCCTAGAATATGCCCAACCTCTTTCCCTTTGTATTTGTTGTTCTTGTGTCTTAATGCTCTTCCCACAGAGCTGGCTGGTATCAAATGTCACTTCGTCCATCCTAGTTAAAGTAGCCCCTAGCCCCAACTCTTTATCCTGTATCCTTTGTTTTCCACATTGAATTGTATTAATGGAGCTTTCTTGTTTGTTTGCCTATGTGTTTATGTCTTAAACTCTAGGTAGATGTGGACTTTGGCTTGTTCAAAACAACATCTCAACCAGGAGTTGAAAGCTAAGGTGTGAAGCTCTAAGATTTGAAATGAGGGAAGACAATTTTTCTCCTTGGTGTAGGAACTGCTTTTCCTGGTAGTCTCTTGGAAGTACAGAATGTGCAGCTAATAATTAGAAAATGTTTGTACTTTGGAAGAATTTCTTTGGGAATCTCTACCTTTTTTATCTCTGTGCCACAGACCATTATTATAAATTGCTCTGGGAGGAAAAAAATGTTTTAACCTTACTTTGATGTAACTATTTAATGTTATACTTTAAGAGCACATAATAGTCTGAGAATATTAATTGATATGTTAACACCCTGAGCTCATGTGGTACTCTGTTTTAAAAATAAAACAGTTGTTAAGTAACTGTGAAATGATTATAGCTTCCAGTAAGTAAAGATCCTAATAGTGAACAAAAGTCAGTACTGATTTATTTAGGAACACCTTCAACAGCCTGATCCATGAACTTGCTTACACTTGGTATGCTTTGGACATTTAGTCAGTTTTCAGAAGTATCTTGTTCCTTTCACTGTTTTTGAGCGGGGATAGTCATTCGAAATCCAGGGATCATGTCCTTGGGACTTAGGTAAAAGGGGGACTCAGTTCTTGCTTGTTGAGTTGAACTCTTATGGCCTATGTTGTTGTTGTTGTTGTTAGTGCTGTTGAGTTGGCTCCAACTCATAACAACTTTGTATAGGGTTTCCAAGGAGCAGCTGGTGAGTTTGAACCACCAACCTGGCAACCCAGTGCTTCATCCCACAGGATTCCTATAAGTAGATTCTTTGTCATACCTTATTTCAAATTGCTTCTTCTAAAATGTGTGGGATCAAAATATATGTTAGTTTTATATATGTTTTATATATATGGAGTCCTTGGTGTATAGTGCTGTAGGATAAACACTCAACTGCAAGTTTAATTTGAATTGAAACTGAATCAATGGCAGTTAATAACAATAACAAACTATGTGTGGTGTGCACGCACATGTGTGCAGTTTGGGGGTCTCTGCCTTATCTGAACTCTCAATCAAAGTTAGGCCTTGGAGTTGTATCCCATATACAACAGAGTGAAACACTGCCTGGTCCTGCCCCATCCTCATAATTGTTATGTTTGAGCTCGGTGTTGCAGCAACTGTGTCAATCCATCTTCCTGTTTTTTTTCCTGCATGATGTTTTTCTCTGGGGATTGGTCCCTCCTTGTAAATGTGTCCAAAATATGTGAGATGAAGTCTTGCCATCCTTAACTTCCAAGGAACATTCTGCCTGCATTTCTTTCAGGACGTAACTGTTCATTCTTCTGGCAGTCCATGATGTACTTAATTTTCTTCAACAAGACCATAACCCAAATATATCCATTCTTTTCTAGTCTGCTTTATTCATAGTCCAGCTTTTGCATGCATCTGAGACAATAGAACCCCCCTGGGTAAGATCAGGAGCACCTTAGAGTACTAAAAGTGGCATCTTTGCTGGCTAACATTTTAAAGAGGTTTTTGCAGCAGATTCGCTCAATGCATTGTGTTGTTTGATTTCCTGACTGCTGCTTCCACGGGCATTGTTTGTGGACCGAGGTAACATGAAATCTGTAGTACCGTATCATTTCCATCAGAGCCTTTACCCCAATTTGAAGTTGCCTATGTGTGTACCCTTTTGTTCTCAAATATTTTACTTTTGTAAATGTATAAACTTTTGGTGAAAGTATACAGCAAGTTAGGTTCCCATTGAACAATTTCCATATATTGATCAGTGACATTTATTGCATTTTCTACATTGTGGCAATGTTCTCTTTGATTGGGTTCTGCTGGTTCTATTTCCAGTTCTGTTTTCTCTGCCTCTTTATTTTCTCATCTTTTCTTTGGATTAAATGTTTACCTTTTACACTCCTACGTATTGTTTTTTAGCAGAGCATCAATCTAAAAATAATAATCTTTAATTTGTATGTTTTTCTACATAAAGGTGATTTCAAGATAGTTTTGATTCAGGGCTTAAAGAGCACTTCAGGACAATTGTCTCAGGTGGTTCAGTTAATTTGAACTTTTTTTTATTTTAAGAATTTGATTTTGGGTCCTATATCTTTTAAAGATATAGGTGTAATCAAAAAAACAATAAACTACTGATCTAGATGACTTAAACAGTGAATTGTACGAAGTATTTAAATGAAAAAGCAATTCTTGACTTACATACACACAGTAAAGTGAAAAATTCCTACTGGTCTCACTTTTTGTTCTTTGTTGGGAGTTGGTACCCTTTTTATATGTCAGATTGTTTGGTATAGGCATCCTTTTCTCATGCGCGCTTCTCAGAGGCATCATGTACTTTGGTTGCACTGCATGTTTTTTTAAATAATGGATCTTCTACTTAGTATACCAGAGGCAACTTTAGTGCAAGAGCCACATTTATTTGGTTTACCTTATACTTAATGTGAAGTCCTGGTGTGGCGGTCGGTATAGGATAATGTACTGGACTGTCAAGTTGGTTTGAATCACAAGATCTGTGGTTCAAACCCACCAGCCACTCCTGGGAAAGCCTAGACTGGGTCACTGTGAGTAGGAACTGACTTGATGGCACTTAATAACAATAACATTCTTAATGTAACTAACATACACAGATATGTAGTCCTGATGTGGCGCTGTAGGAGAAGCACTAGAGTACTAATGTCAAGGCTGGCAGTTCAAATCCATGAACTGCTTTTTGGAAACCTTATGAAGAGTTGCTATAAGTTGGAACCGACTCAGCAGCATTTAACAACAACAACAACAACAACAACAACAACAATATAGATAGGTAGGTAGGTAGATGCCATGAAGTTTCCTCTTTTTGACATATTTTCCTTTCTATCTCGTTGCATTATAAGAGAGGAAACTTCACGGCAAACACCCAAAGATAAGAAGAGCATCTGAAGGACTGAAGGAGACCAGTGTGAGTCTGATGCCACTGACCCAAGAGAGATTGGCACAAGAGAAGAGATAGGCAAGATGAGACATGGTGCTTCAAACTGTGATTTAGGGAAGCTGTTTTGACCAAAACAAGTCAGAGAGATCTGAGAAGAAAAGGTGCAGCCTCCTTGATCCCTGATAGCGGTCTTTCACCTTGGGCCTCTACACAGACTCAGTGTTTATTGAGAATGCACTGTATTTCTTTCAATGGCCAAAGGTAACTGGATGCCATTCGTGTGTGTCACTGCTACAGCTTCTGTGGGAACATGGCCTAAAGCTCCACACTGAGCATATGACGTGTATTAAACAAGTCCATGTTCTGAGAAAAGTGAAAGCACACTTAGATCCAGGTCTTTAAATTAGAGATTGACCATCCACCCCAAGATACACAGAAATGTTTGGAAATAGAATTTTGGAAGTTGGGGTGTGCAATCAGTTTTGTATTCTGTTATTCTACTGCCAAGCTATAAGATTGAGATTTCTCTGTTTATAAAATGGCAGTAAGTAAACCTCAGTGAAACCCTTAAAGGCATGCTTTGAGAAGAGATTGGCAGTCTTTGTGTCTGTCAGTTTTTTTCTTATTGAAAATAGAATAGCTAGTCTTTAATTATTGCCAATATAAGTTAATATGAAAATAAAGCCCCCCCAAAAAATCTCAGAAGGCACAAGGGGCAGAAAAAAAAAGACAAATGGAAACAGGAAGTCCAGGGAAGACTTGGAAAGAGCACTGTTGCATTATGGGGATTGCAACCATTGTCGTGAAATAAAATGTATAAATTGTTGAACAGGAAAAGTTTCCTCTGTAAACTTTCACCCACACCACAATAAAGCATTCGAAGAGAGAAAGGAAGAAAATAGTTTTCGTTTTCATAATCTATGTGTTCATATTTCAATGCATCTTATAGCGCATTAACTGTCAGCATGAGGCTGCATTGGGAAATTTCCACTTTTAGACACAGCTCATTACCGAAAACCAATTATTATCAGAGAGATGCCCTTGAGTGACATGCTTGCTTTATTGCCGTAATCCTCATGGATAAGTAGTGATTCTTTGCCTGAGTGAGTGTACTTCGTTTGCCATCTGTTTAAAATCTTTCTGAAATGAAAACTAGTTTCTTCAACCCTAAGGACATCGTAGCTCTTTACTTCACTGGAGTTCTGGAAAAGGAGGCACTGAGGATTACTTATTCTTCACTCTTCATAGATTCTTCATTCTTCGGTGAAAGCTCTGCAACAAAGATGGCTGCAAATAAGCCCAAGGGTCAGAATTCATTGGCCTTACACAAAGTCATCATGGTGGGCAGTGGTGGTGTGGGCAAGTCCGCGCTGACTCTGCAGTTCATGTACGATGAGGTAAGTGCTTGTTTTATAATAAGCATCCATGTTTGGGCCTTCAAAGACTATAGCTCTAGCCCAGGTTTTGTGCTATTTGGATTGATTCCTTGAAAAATACTAATCATTTTTATTCATATTTACGTTAGAGCCAATGCCTGTACTTAATTGGTTTTACAATTCAAGAACTCAAGGTCCTTAAAAACTTCCTGCTTTATGAAACATAAAAATACTAAAAATACTACCTTTTTTTGAGCAATCTAACTTTGGCTTATTTGTAGTTTTTTAATGGGGATTCCTACCTAGCATAAAGGAGCTTTGGTAGCATAGTAGTTACGAGTTGAGCTGCTAACCTCAGGGTCAGCAGTTCAAAACTACCAGCTGTACCACAGGAGAAAGATGAGGCTTTCTGTTCCTGTAAAGATTTACAGTTTTGGACCCCTATACAGGGTCACTATGAGTCAGAACAACTCAACGACACATACACATCATCACCACCATCACCACCTTGAATTAATTAATAGTACCTGAAATTAACATGCAAAGGGGCTTCAAAAAGTTTGTGGAAAAATGCTGTTATCTCTTCATTTCATTTTTCCACAAACTTTTTGAAGCCGCCTGTATATAAAGGAGTAGCCTTGGTGGCACTATGGGTTAGGCACTGGGCTGTTAACCACAAGGTCAGCAGTTCAAACATACCAGCTGCTCCACAGGAGAAAGATGAGGCTATGTGCTCCTGTAAATGATTTACTCTCAGAAGCCCTGTCAGAATTGACTTGATGCCAGTGGTTTGGTTTGCTTTGTATATGTTGTTGTTGTTAAGTGCCATTGTGTTGGTTCTGACTTATAGCAACTGTGTTTAGGGTTTCTGAGGAGCAGTAGTAGGTACGTTAGAACCACCAACCTTGCTTTGTATATGTTGTTGTTGTTAAGTGCTCAGTTCTGACCCATAACAGCCCTGTGTAGGGTTTCCAGGGAGCAGCTGGTGAGCTTGAACTGCTAACCTTCAGTTCAAACCGACTTTACAGTCCAGCGCATTAACCTGTAGTGTCACACCAGGAATGAATAGGTCATGTATTTGTTGTGTGTTTGACATGGCCCTACACTCACCTGACAAGTAAAAAGTATTCCTAAGTATAATTAGTGTAGGTTACAGATTTCTGAATGTATTTGTATCAGACTTTATTGTTCCAGAGTTGAGATCTCAACCTGTATACACTAATATATTCTTTCCTTAGGGAGTTTTCTCAAGTCTTTATGATTTAAGAGTTGGTAATCCTGGTGTGGCACTGTGGGATAAGTGCTGAACTGCAGAGTCGGCAGTTCAAACCCAAAGCCACTCCTCGGAACCTTTGCCAGGGTCACTAGGAGTCAGAACAAACTCGATGACATTTAGCAACAACAATCCAGTATAAGCATATAACCTCAAGTTTTCCTCCAAATGGGAGCAAGTTTAGCTTTATATTCTTAATCTCTTGATGCTTGTAACAATCCTGCATCATGGGTGGTGGCACCCCATTTTACAGGTGAGGAAATGAAACCTCAGAGGGGATTAACCAACTTTGCCAAGAAGAGTGATCACAGATGAGAAACCCAGGTGCAAGTGTGTTCTGATTAGACCTTACAGATTCATATCACCCCATGTCGCTTCCTATTGTCTGCTTATCAACTTTTCTTTCACAAATACAAAATTCTCTTTGATGATTTTAATAAAAAGTTTGAGGAGGCAGGGACTTAAATGAGGTTACTAAGTAATTTGTTCATTTCTGTTTTCCATACTATTCATTTTATAGCCATCTTCTCTCAACCTAATATTTACACCAGCCCCCTTCTCCTTGACAATAAAGAGGGCAAAAATTAAAATAATCAGATGTCTAACATTGGCTGAATGGCTAAGCACAATATTGTTGTTCATAAGTGCCATCAAGTCGATTCCAACTCCTAGCCACCCTGTATAGGGTTTCCGAGGAGCAGCTGGTGAAGCACAATATTAGTATGTAAATATTGTCGAATGATGTGTATTTTTTACAGTCACAAATGCACCATTTCCAGTTGTTAATAATATTCTTTGAGTGCTTATCTTGTTCCGTGTTCTGGAGATCCAGCAGTGAGGATAGTCAGGATTCCTACTGTCAGGGCTTAAATTCTAGGAGGGAATAATATTCCTTAAACAGAGAAGCAAGAAAATGTCAGGTAATAGTGGGGGGCGCGGCGGCGGGGGAGTCTAAAATTAAAATGGCTGTTGTCATTAAGTGCTGCTGAGTTGGTGTCAATCCATAGCGACCTTGAATAAAGTTTCCGAGGAGCAGCTGGTGAGCTTGAACCACTGACCTTGTGGTTCAAACCAACCTTGCAGTCCAGCGCATTAACCCACAGCGCCACACCAGAATGCCAAAATTAAAATTAATATAGTTTTTACCATTGGCAAAACTGGGAGAAAGGTAGGCGCCCTGGTGGTGCTATGGGTGAAGTGCCAAAAGGTGTAAACCCACAAGCTCCTCTTTGGGAAGAAGATGTGGCCGCCTGCATCCGTACAGATTTCCAGTCTCTGAACCTATGGAGCAGTTCTGCGCTGTCTTATGAAATCTCTGTGAGTTGTAATTGATTCAACAGCCGTGGGTCTTTTGGGTTGGGTAAAGGATCACTCTGTACTAATTTGACAACATCATGTGAATTCTAGTTATTTAAAATAGAAAGTTTTGACTAGCAAAAGATGATAATTTAAAAATGGATGTGTTTTTCTTCTTTTGTAGTTTGTGGAGGACTATGAGCCCACCAAAGCAGACAGCTATCGGAAGAAGGTTGTGCTGGATGGGGAGGAAGTTCAGATTGATATCTTAGATACTGCTGGGCAGGAGGACTATGCTGCAATTAGAGACAACTACTTCCGAAGTGGAGAGGGTTTCCTGTGTGTCTTCTCTATTACAGAAATGGAATCCTTTGCAGCAACAGCTGACTTCAGGTATAACAGGGAACAGTGTTGTTGATCTGACATATTGTGAGGCATGTTTCTTCCCCTGTAACAGGTGGAGAACTGGAGGCTCTTTGTTGTTAATCTTTTACTCTGCTTCTAATTGTGTTTATTTTCTCTTTAATAGTAACATCTGACTCTACACACTCCGTATTTACCCTCAGATATTCAGTATGGCTTATATGATCATGCTGTCCTGGAGTCAGTTGTGTAAGAACTTGAGTTTTGTGAAATATCCAAAGTCTCTATGCATCGCTGCAGTATTTTTCTTTGAAATAAAATAACTCCTGCAAGATAATGCACGGGACCGCAGGTCGGTTTGAACCATAAGATCTGCAGTTCAAACTTACCAACTGCTCCTCGGGAACCCTATACAGATTGCTTTGAGTTGAAATTGACTTAACTGCACTTTACAACAACAACAACTGTCATAATGTGAGCGTAGTGGCTCCCTACGATAAGCACTGGACTGCAAGCCACAAGGTCTGTGGCTCAAACCCACCAACCACACCATGGGGAAAAGATGAGGCTTTCTGCTCTTATGAAGATTTAAAACCTCAGAAACCCTATACAGGGTCACTATGAGTCGGAACATACTTGATGGCACTTAACAATAACAACTACCATAGTAGTTAATGCTCAATAACAGCACGGAGCTCCGACCCAGATTTTAAGCTTTCCTGTGTTAGTCACTGGTTTTTCAGCACTTGTGTGATTTGTGATGCTCTGCAGGCACATGGTCTTCCTCCTTGGAGTTGTTGTTAAGTGCTGTCCAGTCAATTCCAACTCCTGTTGATCCAATATAGGGTTTCCAAGGGGCGACTGATGAGTTTGAACCACCGACCTTGTGGTTCAAACTGACGTGGTGATCCAGTGCGTATCGTACAGCTTATTTGGTTTGGGAGGAGGTTTTGGTGAAGGGTAAGGCATTCCTCATTCTGTAAGTGAAATTTGATGTAAAGTTCTTAAGTCTTACAAATAATACATCCATTATCAAAGATATTCTTTATATATTTTCATTTCTCTGTTGAAAGCATCTGCTTTGGGTTATGTGGGATACAAAAGAAGCATGTAATTTAGCTTCTATTTTCAAGATATACGCAGCATACTTGAATATGGGGGTAAGTCAGGAAATATTGCTGCTAGAGTTCCAGTTCATATATGTATGAGTTTTATTCCAGACAAACCGTGTTTGAATTTGTCTCTGCAAGCAGTGGATGACTGTAGACAAGTTCTCCTAGTAATACACTTCATCTTGTTGTTAGGTGCTGTCGAGTCAGTTCCGACTCATAGCAACCCTGTGCATGACAGAATGAAAGTCATTCTGGTCCTGTGCCATCTGCACAATTGTTTGAGCCTGTTGTTGCTGTCACTGTGTCAGTGCATCTCTGTTCCGCTGACGCTCACTTTACCAAGCAGGATGTCCTTTTCCAGGGACTAGTCTTTCTTGATAGTAAGTCCAAAGTACCAAACACAAAATCGCACCATCCTCACTTCTGAGGCGTCTTCGCTGGTTGTACGTCTTCAAAGACAGATTTGTTTGTTCTTCTGGTAGTCCATAGTACTTTCAGTATTCTTTGCCAATACCATAATTCAAGTACATCAGTTCTTCTATGATCTTCCTTATTCATTGTCTTAACTTTCACATACGTATGAGGCAATTGAAAATACCATGGCTTGGGTCAGACTCACCTGAATCTCTTGGGTCTTCAAATTGCTCTCTTTGCTCTTGAACAGTGGTGCAGCAGATTTAGCTAATGCAAGATATCGTTCAGTATCTTGACTGCTGCTTCCATGAATGTTGATAGTGGAGCCAAACAAAATGAAGTCTTTGACAACGTCAATCTTTTTTCGGTTTATCATGGTGTTATTTATTGGTCCAGTTGTAAGGATTTTCATTTTCTTTACATTGAGATGCAGTCCATACTGAAGGCTTTGGTCTTTGAGTTTCATGAGTATTTTTAAGCCCTCTTTCTTTTCAGCAAGCAGGGTTGTGTCGTCTGCATATCACAGGTTGTTAGTTAGACTTCCTCCTATTTTGATGCCATGTTCTTCATGTAATCCAGCTTCTCGGATTACTTGATTACTTGCTTAGCATATAGATTGAGTATGGTGAAAAGATATTACCCTGGTGCACACCTTTCCTGATTTTAAAACAGTCAGTATTGTCTTGTGAGGTTTGAATGACTGCTTTTAGTTCTTTGTACAGCTTTATCATGAGCAAATTGCTCTGGATTACCCATTTTTCTCACAGTTAATCTGTAGTTTGTTATAATACAATCAAATGCCTTTGCACAGTCTGTAAAACACAAACATCTTTCAGATATTCTCTGCTTTCAGCCAAGATCCATCTGACATCAGCAGTGGTGTCCCTGGTTCCATGTCAATTTCGGTCAGCTTCCTGTCAGTGAATGTTCTGCTGAAACTGTTTTTGAATTATCTTTAGAATTTTATTTGTGTTTGATATTAATTATATTGTTAGATAATTTCCACATTCTTTTGGGTCACCTTTCTTTGGAATGGGAACAAATGTGAATCTCTTTCAATTGATTGGCCAGGTAGCCATCTTCCAAATTTCTTGGTATAGACAAGTGAGCAACTCCAGCATTGCCTCAGTATTCCTTCAATTCTTGGAGCCTTGTTTTTCACCAATGACTTTAGTGCAGCTTGGGTTTCTTTGTTCAATGTCATTGATTCTTGATCATTTACTACCTCTTGAAATATTTGAGTGTCAACCCTTTCTTTTTGGTACAGTGACTCTGTGTATTCTCTTTGTCTGCTTTTGATGCTTCTTACATCTTTCAGTGTTTTGCCTGTAGAGTCCTTCAGGATTGCAATCCAAGGCTTGAATTTTTTCTTCAGTTATTTCAGCTCAAGAAATGCTGAAGTGTTCTTCCCTTTTGGTTTTCTAACTCCAGGTCTTTGTACACTCCATTATAATACTTGACTGTGTTCTTAAGCAGCTCTTTGAAATTTTCTATTCATCGCTTTTACTTGCTCACTTCTTCCAGCTGCTTTAAATTCTTAGTGCTCAAGAGCAAGTTTCAAAGTCTCTTCTAATATTCATTTTCTCTTTCCTTTCTTATCTGTCTTTTTAATGATCTTTTGCTTTCTGTATGAATGGTGTTCTTGATGTCCTCCAACAACTGTTTTGGGTTTTGGTCACTAGTGTCTAATGCATCAAATCTGTTCTTAAGATGATATCTAAATTCAAGTGGGATATATTCAAGGTTATATTTTGGCTCTTGTGAACTTGTTTTGATTTTCTTTAGCTTCAGCCTGAACTTGCATACTATGTTCTGCTCCACAGTTAGTCCCTAACCTTCTTTTGGCTGATAATACTGAACTGCTTCATCGTCTCTTCCCACAGATATAGTCAATTTGGTACCTGTATATATTCCTTCTTGTGAGATCCACATGAATAGTTTCCTTTTATGTCATTGATAAAAGGTATTCACAATGAGTAAGTTGGTCCTATAAAAGACTATCATGCGATCTCCAGCATAATTTGTAAAACCAAGGTCACATTTTCCAACTACTAACCCTTCCTTTTTGTTTCAACTTTCGATTCAAATCACCATTAATTATCAGTGCATCTTGATTGTGTGTTTGATCAATTTCAGAATGAAGAAGTTGGTGCTATTCTTCAATTTCATCATCATTGACTTTAGTGATTGGTGCAGAATTTTGAATAATAGTGGTTTTATAGGCATATGGATGTTACCACAAACAACATTGTACTTTAAGATCTTGAAATACTCTTTTTGACAATCAGTACTCCGCTGTTCCTCTTCAAAATGGCCAGTACCAGTACATTTCATTTCACTAATATCCATCTTATGCATTCCATTTCAGTTTTGATGGCTTCCAGTTTTTCTAGATTCTTGCTTTATATATTCCACTTATTAATGGATGTTTGCAATTGTTTCTTCTCATTTTGAGTTGTTCCCTGTCAGCAGGTGAAAGTTCCAAAAGCTTTGCTCCATCCGCATCATTAATGTCAACTCTCCTTTGAGGAGGCAGCTCTTCTCCGGTTGTGTTTTGAGTGCCTTCCAACATGAGAGGCTTATCTTTTGGAACGCTGTCAGACAGTGGTCTGCTGTAAGGTTTGCAGTGGGTAACCTTTCAGAAATGGTCCACCATGCCTTCTTCCTAGTATGTCTTAGTCTGGAAACTCTGTTGAAACCTGTTTACCGTGGGTGACCCTGCCAGTATTTAAATAGCATCTCAGCAACAGACGCTCGACACACCATAGCACAACAAACTGACAGGGGAGGGGTGTCGTCTCATTAGGGTGCCTTCAACCAAAAGTTTACATCCTACCAGTGGCTTCTGAGGTGATCTGCGAGGCCAATTAAATTCAAGGCAGAGAGATAAACTGGAAGATTATGGTGACTATTTCCTTTCTTTTCTAAATTCCAAAGATAGATGTTATCAAAGGACATAGGACAATCACGGGGGCTTATTAGGGTGAAAATTTAAAAATGCATCGATGAGAAAAAGGCCAGTAAAATTGTGCCCAGGGAATTGTATCCCATCTTGAGAACGTATATGCTCATTCTCTAAGGTAGCAAGGGCTGCCCCAAAATAACTTTGTTGGGACATCTTTCTCTATCCACCTGTTACTACCTTTTCAAACTTCTTTTTGTTCCCAAAATGCAAAGAACAGTTCAAAGGAACATGATTTGAGGCTCTTTGAAGATGTCAGAACTGCTACTTGGATACGGTGTCAATTGAAGAGCCCAGAATTTTTCAGGGGAGGGTTAGAGAAATGGAGACACCACCTTCAGAAGCTGGAGAATGTGCTGAGAAACAGTAGCTTCACATTTTTGTGTTTTAGTTTAGTAAAGGTTTACATGATTTATTAGTAAAGCTTTTTGACTTAACAAGGCAGGAGACATGGGCAGTGATCAGTACAGGGCATCCAGAAGGGGAGAGGAACTGGGATGGCTTCATGAAATGGATGGACCTGAAATACGGCAATTTGCAGAGATGCACAAAGAATATCTCTCAGATGTATGAGCCAGAAATGGAGCCTCTATTGGCTTTTACAAAGCATTCTTATAAAGAAGAAATTTCATGTATGAGAAAATGCAGCAGCATTTACAGACCATAGTAACATGTAATGCTGGGAGACATGTTGAAAGTTGCATAAATGTCAGTATTTATTCAACAAATATTTGAATGTTTATTATGCCTAAGCTCCTGCTCTAGGTAGTAAAATAAATTTTGTCACCATGGTCACAAAAGCCAAAGTGTTATGTCAAACAGATGGGTATTTTTATGCCAAGAGAGAAACTCTTAGATTGCTATTCCATAAAATCAATGAGTGAGTCTCATTGGACCTCCAGCGTGTTACCCTAACCATAAATTAAAATGGCCCTGGTAACTCATGAGCAATGGTGGCTGGTGGCTATGTGCTGTGGAGTCGATTCCGACTCGTAGCCACCCTGTACAGGGTTTCCGAGGCTGTAAATCTTCACAGGAGCAGAAAGCCTCTTCTTTCTCCCGCGGGACAGCTGGTAGTTCCAAACTGCTTAGGAAGGGTGTTTTTGAGAAGGTCTGAAGAGTCAAGGTATTACACATGTGCTAACCTACAAAATAGAGCATCAGTGTGGCTCCTTTCTTGAATCTTCCTGAGTGAGCATCCTCATCACCAAGAAAGATTCCAGTACCACTCGGCACTTCTGTACTGAGCTGATGTATACTATGTTTTGCTTGATAGGGTAAAAACAGTTGAGAGCAGGAGCTACTCTATGTATCCTTAGTACCCATAATTGGGATGGTTGCTAGCTGATAACGTTTGGCACATGCTTAGTAAGCTATTGATTTTATTTGAAAACCCTTTTGGTTTCTCGTTTTCTTATGGACCAAACTGTAAAGATACCTCTCTTAAAATCCTATAATTTGTTGTTAAGTGCCATCAAGTTGGTTTCGACTCATAGCAACCCTGTATAATAGGGTTTCTGAGGAGCAGCTAGTGGGTCTGAACTGCTAACCTTGTGGTTTACAGTACAGTGCTAATCTACAGCATCACATAAGAAATTCAAAATCATATTATAACAGCCTCAAAAATTATACTTAAAGACAACATCACATTAAACAAAATGTGTATGATGGTTATGGGCATAATATTACCGTTCTCTGACATCCAGCAAAGTAGCTAATTTACTTACTAACTCAAGAATATTGTTTTCTCACCTCTAAGCCCAGAAGGCCCAGGTATTCTGTAGCCATTTTTCTGATAGCATTGCTTATACTGTGATCTCAGTGTTCGTCTCCCTATAGCACCAGTCTTAGTGTAGTTTAGTAGATATTTAGCAGCAAACAATGAATGCCTATATAATTTCCGTATTCAGTGATGCTATATAGGGAATTACTTGCTGTTAATACTGGTTCTAACTCTGCATTTGAAACAACCAATTTAAACTTTTTTTTTTTCCTGAATGGCTAAATGGTCTTTATGTGACCCACATTTTCCTTTTGTTTCATGTTCTCCCATGGCTTTGAACTTATCACTGTAATAAAGAAGCTTGTCCTCTGCCCATTTGTAGTTGTGCCCTGCAGAGGCAGTGTTGTATGGTATGGATTGCTGCACCACAATGCCCTGTGGCTGCCTTAGTGGCCATCCCATATCAGTGGTGGGGTTTCATGATGAATCACTGGGGGGAAGTAAACCTTCTTCAACAGCTTTGTTCCCTAGATACCTCATTATGGGGCCATCCCAGGTCCCATGGTATCCAGTGTAGAAGATGAGTTAGACTGCTCAGGTTCAAACCCAAGTTCTTTTACTTCTAAACAAGAGACATAATTTCTCTGTGCCTCAGTTTCCTTCTGTCTTAGATAAGAATAATAATAGGTTTAGAGTGCAGATTAAATGTGATCAGGTATGTAAAGCATTTACAACTATGTCAGACACATTGTGAACACTCAGTAAAACGTTAACAGTAGTGAAGGTGGGTGGTAGTTGGTAGTAAGAGGCCAAGGAAACATTACATGAGAGGCACAAAAGAAACCATCTCATAAAGTAAGTCATAATGAAGAGCTTTACTCCGCCTTTCAAACGTCCTGGTAAGACCTGTACAATCAAGTAAACTGTGCTAATGATCTGCCATTGTAATGTTGTCAGGTGCCACCAAGTTGAGTTAACTAATAGTGACCCTGTCTGACAGACTAGAACTGCCCCCTAGGGTCTCCAAGGCTGTATTCTCTATGGGAGCACATCACTAGGTCTTTTCTTCCATGAAGCTGCTAGTGGGTTTGAACTGCCAATCTTTTGGTTAGCAGTCAGTCATTTAACCATTGTGCCACCAGAGCCCCTTGACATTGAAATAATGAGTCTAAAATACTCATATACATGTAATTTCAGTATCTTAATAATTTTAAAGGAGAGGTATCCGAAAGAGCAAGATAGTAAGCTTAGAGTTTACAGATTTATTTGTTCTCTTGATTTTGCAAGAAAACATCTTCCTCTAGTAAATTGTTATCATAAGAACAGTTAACATTTATTGGATATTTGCTATGTGCCAGGCACAGTCCTAAGCATTTTATGTACAATTCTCATGTTATTGAGAAGTTGGTTCTGACTCACAGCGACCTTGTTTCCAAGCGTGGCTGATGAGCCTGAACTGCTGGCCTAAGAAAAGTGTTATTGTTAGCCCCGTTGTATGGATGAGGCAAAAAAAAACTTAAGGCAGTGAAGTGCCTGACCCAGAGTCACATGACTAGGCAGGGCAGAGCCCTGATACAAATAATGAAATTTTGTGAGTTTTCCAAAGCAGTATTAACTTAATCTCTTATATAAAATCTGTATTCAAGAGGTAGATTTCAGGTAGCTCTGACATATGTGGTACTTTAAACATATAGTGGTGGGACCCTTGGCATAAGGAGCTTTGTTGAAGTAGTTAGTTACAAGTTTGACTGCTAACTGCAAGATCAGCGGGTCGAGCCTGCCTGCTGTTCTGAGGGAGAAAGAAGAGGCTGGCTGCTTCCTTGAAGTCTTAGAAATTCTATATAGAGTTACTGGGAGTCAGAATCGACTAAGTGGCGTGTGACATCAACAGTTGATTCATGAATTAGTATAAGACAATAGTGTAAAACTGGCATGGGGGCAGTGTCTGACCTCTTCTAACTTCACTGTTGGCACAGCATCACTCTATTAGCATCAGCCCAAGGCTGACCTGTGAGGCAGAAGCCAGGCATGCCTTCAGCCTTTTGACCAATTCTGACACCATCTGTCCCTCCCACACACACTCAACTGTTCTGCTGGGTTTGATCATTGATGGCAGTCACCACTCAGAACTCATAGACAATACTTACAATGAATGGGGTTGTATTAGGGAATTTACAATTCAGGATCAGAAAGAGGGCATGGTTCTCTGATCGGTACAGCCTCAATCGTCCCTGCAGGCACACCTCTCTCCAGCCTGGCTTCTCAAACATGCAGCCCCTTGGTCTCTGACCTCAGGCAAGTGTTACAAAGCACTTTTAGTTCTGCCAGTAAATGGCCACTCCTTATAAGCCTCAGCCCAAAGACAGTCACTCAGCCCCTTCCTACCCCCATTAAGAACCTGGAGGCAACCAACTCTGCTAGCAAGCCCTGCCCAGAGGCCCTCTGCCTTCCATGCTCTTCGGACCCTGTTGTTGTTAACCTCCATTGGGTCATTTCCAACCCATATAGACTTATTTCTGACCCATATAGGGTCATAGGACTCTGTATACGGTTTCAGAGGAGCAGCTGGTGAACTTAAAATGCTGACCTTGCGGTTCAGACCAACTTTGCAATCCAGCATTAGGGGAAATTGTAGGTACAGAGGAGCCCTCTTTACAGCTTTTCTGTAAATCTAAAACTTTTAAAATGAAAGTGTAATTTTCAGAAGAAGCATTTAAAGGGAAGTTACATTTGAATTTCATTTTATGCCTCTGCTGCTTAGCTCATACATTCTTCTTTGGTGTACATGCATATCTCAAAGATACTGCAGACCACCACAATAAAATGAATATCATAAAGCAAGTTGCACAGTTTTGTTTGGTCTTCTAGTGCATATAAAAGTTATGTTTATACTATACTTTAGTGCCTGAAGGAGCTTTGGTGACACCATGAGTTAAGAACTAGGCTGCTAATTGAAAGGTCTGGGGTTCAATCCCAGCTGCTCTTCAGGAGAAAGATGATGAGGCAGTCTTCTTCCATAAAGATTTACAAGCCCCAGAAACCTGTGGCTCCGTTGTCCTCTGTCCTGTAGGATCACTGTGAGTTGGAATTAAGCCGATGGCAGTGGGTTTAGTAGTCTCTAAATGTGCATTGTGAAAAAGTTTGAAATGTTGAGAGAATTACCAAAATGTGACACAAAGACATGAAATGAGCCCTTGCAGTTGGAAAAATGACACCAATAGGCTTGCTCAATGGAGGGTTGTCACAAACCTTTAATTTGTTTAAAAAATGCATTATCTGCAAAGCACAATAAACTGAAAGCACAGAAAAACAAGATATGCCTATGTGTTTTCTATGTCACTGTATTTAAAGTTGGGGGGGGGCGGGTTGTATAGCTCAAATGATTGATCAAGTAAGAAAGAAGGACTGGTTATTTCCTGCCATGGGATAAATGACCTTACTGTCGTGTAGCTATGTAGGCACACATGTAAATTATAAATAAATGTAATTGCAGATGGTTACTTGTTAGGTAGTAGTCAAAAAACATAATATTTTCTTCTGATTTTCTTTTATCCAGGGAGCAGATTTTAAGAGTAAAAGAAGATGAGAATGTTCCGTTTTTGCTTGTTGGTAACAAGTCAGATTTAGAAGATAAAAGGCAGGTTTCTGTAGAAGAGGCAAAATCCAGAGCCGATCAATGGAATGTGAACTATGTGGAAACATCTGCTAAAACACGAGCTAATGTTGACAAGGTAAGGTATGACTCTCCGTGCTACTACATCATGCTAAAAATAGGATGATTTGCTTTAACTCGCCTCTATTTTGTTTAGAGATTATAAGAGACTTTCAAGGAGAGAATTTCCTTTTTACTGTATGTTGATTTTTATCAGCCCTGAGTACTCAAGTGCAACATGTTAGGAATTTCATGCAGATTCACAAGTTTATAAGAGACATTCAAGCATGAGGACACTACAACAAACAAAAAATTTTTTAAGCACTGATAGAATTTCTGACCTGAATCCCTGCCTTTTTTTCCTGTTAGTTGTTGTTGTTAACTACATCGAGTCGGTTCCAACCCATAGCGCCCTGTATAGATAAGGTTTCTGAGGAGCGCCTGGTGAGCTGGAACTGCTGACCTTGCTGTTCAGACTGACTTTGCAGTTCAGCGCATTAGCCCACAGTGCCACACCTGGGCTGAATAATTTTAGAGGAATTGGAGAAGCCCGAGTTCAAGCCCTGGCCTTCTTGCCTCTCTCCCCACTCCTACCCAACCCCCGTTAAGTTCTCAAAAGCCAAGGTGCCTCCCCGGGTGAAGGACCCTCCGATTATGAGGATTCTAAAATCTCTTACTACTATCACTACACTTCCCCACCTCAACCTTTATTTCCCCAAACAGAAGGGGAAACAGTGCCCCGAGTTTCTGGGGTGTTGCCTCCACCCTTAACCCCTCATCTCCTCACTTTGTTCAGAGTGGACCTGCCTGAGGGAAAGCTATACAGTATCTCTATGGGTTGGAACCAGCTTGATAGCACTTAACAAAAACAGTGCTTTATTTCAAGATTGGCAGTTCAAACTTACTAACTGCTCCTTGGAAACCCTAAACAGGGTTGTTAGGAGTCAGAGGAGAGTTAACATGCTTTATTTAAAAGTTGCCTTTCTCTCATTCCGTATTAAGAGTTAGTACACGAACCCGCAGCGCTCTCTCCATAACCGCCTTGACATTTTGGGTTGCTCTGTTAATTTTTCTTTTGCTTTTTTGTGTTTTTTTGTTTGTTTGTTTTTACTTTTGCATTTAAGACCATTAAATTTGATTTTGTTTTGCTCGAAAAAAAAAGAAAGAGTTAGTACTGTATTCTCAGGTGTGTGCCTGAGAATACTGTGTGTACCTGTCAAGAGATCTATAAGATAGTACAGAGTCCACAGGAACTAACATGTCCCACTAATGGCAGGGATCTATCAAAACTATGACCCATCAATTCAAATTATAAAAATTTACTGATAAAATGCATAAATACTAGATAGTCAAAATAGTCATAGAAGCAAAAAAACTGGAAATACTCCAAATACCCAAGAACAGGCTGGTTTAAATTAATAGTGTACTTGTCAAATGAAATACTATACAGCTGTTAAAAAGAAGTAAGAGTAGGACTGAATGTACTGATCTGGAATGATCTTCAACATGATATAAGTGAAAATAGCAAGGTGGAGAGAAATATCTAGCCTATTGCCATCTCTGTTTTAAACCTGCAGGACAGTTGGCTATGTAAGAATCTGGTACCCATGGTATCCACCAGAGAACCAAACAATGGGTATATATGCTCTTTTCACTGTAAATACCCTTCTGTACTATTGTATTTAGGTTTTTATCATAACACGTGTTTTTTCTATAGAGAAAATTAAATATATTAGGCTGATTTAATTAACATGACTGTATAACAGAATGTTCCCCTAAACTTAGTGGATAAAACAACTTATTTGTTATGCTCATGGATACTGTGGGCTAAGAATTTAGACAAGGCAAGGTGGGGATGGCTTGTCTCTGTTCGACGTGTCGTGCCTCAGCCCAAAAGTGGAGGCTGGGCACTGATGTGTGTAAACTTTGATCCTAAAGTCTTGGTCACACTTGTCTGACCGCTGATGCTAGCTGTTGTCCAGGGATGCCTCAGTTCCTCTCCTTGTGGTCTTTCTGTGTGTGATGGTTTGAGCTTCACCACATCGAGGGCAAGTATCCCAAGAGAACAAGAACAGAACCGTATAGCTGTTTATGACCTAGCCTTGGAGGTCATAAATATTTGGAAGTCAGCTTTATTTCCACCTCATTCTGTTGGATGACTTAGTCACAAAGTGTCACCCAGGTTTAAGGGAAGGGAAAATAGACTCTACCTCTTCACGGGGAGTGGCAAGGTTCTGAAAAAGCAGGTGGGATCAGAGATTCTGCTGTAGCCATTTCTGAAAAAATAGAGTCTGCAGTCAGGGTCACCTCTTCCCAACAAAACCACTTTAAATGAGGCTGCTTATAAACCAAAACACAAGTTCATACAGAAATATGATTTCATGGAGAGTAGCTATCAGAGTACATGAGTGGCTAAAAGTAACTTGTGGCAACTATTTAGTTTCCAGGGTTAACTATACATTTTTTGCTGAGGATGTGGTGTAATAGTAAGAAGAAATCCTACTTATTGGTTCTTATAAGAGCTAGGTACTGTGGCAGGCACTGAACTTTAATCCTTAACTCTGTGAGACGTAGCTACTCTTCATGCTCACGTTTTAGAAAAGGAAATGAAAGTTGTTGTTATTGTTGTTAAGTGCCGTCGAGTCGATTCCGACCCATAGCGACTCTGTATAGGGTTTCCAAGGAGCAGCTGGTGAGCTTGAACCACAGATCTTGAAGTTCCAACAACTTTGCAGTCTGACTCATTAGCCCACAGCACCACACCAGGAGGAAATGGAAGTAGGAAAGGATAAAGTAACTGGCTCAAGGTCCAAGGACAGGTGGTGGCATTCACTGGTATGGGGATCTGGTCAGCTTTAGTCCCCACATTCGTTCTTCACTGTTTAATTCAAAACTATGGTTGGAATATTATTGACTACACAAAGGCTTTCGATTGTGTGGATCATGACAAGCTATGGACAACATTGCAAAGTATGAGTATTCCGGAATACTTAATTGTGCTCATGAGGAATCTGTACATGGACCAAGAGGCAGTTGTTCAAACACAACATGGGAACACTGAATGGTTTAAAATTAAGAAAGGTGTGCACAGGGCTGTATTCTTTCACCATACTTATTCAACCTCTTTGCTGAGCAAATAATCCGAGAAGCTGGGTTCTGTGAAGAAAAATGTAGCATCAGGATTGGAGGAAGACTCATTATAACAACCTGCAATACGCAGATGATACAACCTTGCTTTCTGAAAGTGAAGAAGACTTAAAACATTTACTGATGAAGATCAAAAATGACTACAGTCTTTGGTATGGATTGCATCTCAATGTAAGAAAACAAAAATCCTCACCACTGGACCAATAAACAACATTCTTTTCAACGGAGAAAAGATTGAAGTTGTCAAGGACTTCATTCTTCTTGCATCAACTATCAACACTCATGGAAGCAGCAGTCAAGAAATCAAAGGATGTATTGCATTAGGCAAATCTGCTGCACAAGACCTTTTTAAAGTGTTGAAGAGCAAAGATGTCAGCTTGAAGACTAAGGTGTGCCTGACTCAAGCCATGGTATTTTCAATAACTTCATATCCATGTGAAAGCTGGACAGAGAAGAAGGAAGACTGTAGAAGAACTGATGCTTTTAGTTATGGTGTTGTAGAAGAATATTGAAAGTGCCATGGGCTGCCAAAAGAACCAATAGATCCATTTTGGAAGAAGTGCAGCCAGAGTGTTCCTTGGAGGCCAGAATGGCCAAACTTCATCTCTCATACTTCGGACATACTGTCAGGAGGGAGAAGTCGCTGGAAAAGGATATCATGTTTGGTAAGGTGGAGGGTCAGAGAAAAAGAGGAGGACCCCCAGCGAGATGGATTGGCCAAGAGGCAGCATCAGTGGGCTCAAGCGTGGCAACTCTAGTGAGGTTGGCTCAGAATCGGGCAGTGTTTCATTCGGCTCTGTGTAAGGTTGCTATGAGTCGCTACTGACTCGATGGCACCTAGCAACAACAAATGGTTGGAATAGCCTGTGGTATCTCTGGCTTTATATGTCATCCACTACTGGAGGCCGGATCTCACATTTTCCTGGATAACAAGTGTTCAAGAGAATCAGTAGTCACTCCAACTCCCCATAAACTCTTAGGGTCTTTATGCCTTATCTTTATCTGGATTCCATATGGGATCCATGAATGGGAGCTTCAGAGAGGTAGATTTTAAATCTACCCTGTGAAAAAGCTTCATGACTCCAGTGATGTTGAGCAGGGGCATGCCCTATCTTCTGCATGCTTGTCACAGAGATCGTCCAGATGACCTTATCAGTACCCTTCTGGTTCTTAAATTATAACCCCAGTATTGTCTTTGATTTGAGAAACATCTTTTGGAGGAATGGAGGGAAGCTAAACAAGTAGACCTCCAAAATGGGGAGTATGATTTCTTATGTCAGGAGTGCATGTGTTTTATTGAGGAAAAAAAAATTTAGTAGAAACATACTGTGTATTTTTGAAAATACTTTTCTGCTTTTTTAACTATACAAGTAATACATGCTTGTTATAGGAAAAAAAAAAAAAATCCATACTGCAGAAGAATAAGCAGTAAAAGTGAGTCACCCTTCACCCAAATTCCATTCCCCTCCCTCTCCTAGAGCTAGCATTGCTTTCCAGCCCCCTTGTTTTTAGTGCAGCAGGCTCACTAACGCAGGCATCTAACAGAGAGCTTGGGTTGGATTTTTTTTCCTCATACAAATTGTATTTTACTGTGTATATTTTTTTTGTGACTTGCTTTTTAAATTTTACAACAAAAGTAGCGCTTGCCGTGTTATTAGATATAGATATATTACATTCTTTTGAAAAGCTATAAAATAACTCCAGTCAGGCTTTTACATAATTCAGCCATTTCCCTATGAATGCCATTTAGGTTGCTTGCCATTTTTTCTGTTACAAACAATACTACAATGAACTGTCTAGCTGTGCACCATGCAAGTGTGAAGAAAGGGTGTGTTTAAAAGTTTTTCAAGTTTGTGTTGTGAATTGGATGAAGGCTTACAGAGCAGATCTCATTGATTACAGTCCCCTCAGGATAACATCACGTAGCCGCTTTGTCCCTGTGCTTCTTCTTTTCCTTTCCTAAGGAAACTATATCCTCTTTTCACTTTGTAATTGTCTTCATTACAAATTGACAAGTGACCCTCTAGGAGGGCTTGTCCTTATACTCCCACCAACAATGTGTGAGGAAATCCTCCGCCATGGCCTTGCCAGCACCAAAACAACAGCCTTTATTAACGGCTAATCAGATAGAGTCCTGGTGTGACGCTGTGGGTTAATGCACCAGACTGCAGAGCCATTTGAACTGCAAGGTCGGCGGTTCAGGCTTGGTTACCAGCTGCTCCTCGGAAACCCTATACAGGGCCACTGTGGGTCGGAACCAACTCGATGGCACTTAACAACAGCAACAATCAGATCTGTATGGTCCTGTGGGTTAATACACTGGACTGCAAAGTTGGTTTGAAGCTCACCAACCCCTCCTTGGAAACCCTATACAGGGTCGCTGTATGTAGGAACCAACTGTATGGCACTTAATAACAATAACTATCAGATCAGTATATCGTTTTTTAAATTCATGTTTCCTGATTGCTATTGTAATACTGGACATCTTGTCATGGATTCATTGACCATTTGTATATCTTTTGAGACTTATGTGAAATTGCTTTCTTTTATTTACTTAATGAGTCATTTGTCCTTTTAATTGATTTGTTGTTAAGTGCCACTGAGTTGGTTTCAACTCATGGAGATCCTGTCTGTATACAGAGTTTCTGAAGAGTGCTTGCAGTTCAAACTGACTTGGTGGCCCAGTGCTTATCCTACAGTGCCACACCAGGACTCCTCTGATTCATAAGGCCACTCAATACTAAGGACATCCATTAATTCTTTGTCCATTTATGTCTATTGTCTCCTAATCTGTACCATGTATTTTAACTTAGTTGATTTTATCTTTTGCTGAGAAAAAGTATTAAAAATTGTGTAATCACGTTTGTAGCATTTTCTTCTTTGACTTCTGGGTTTTGTGGTTTGCTTAGGAAAACTGTTTCCCATCCTAATTTTTTTCTTTTAATCCTGTAATGTTTTGCTTTCTTTTTGTGATGACTTTTATAATAGATTCTTCAGTGTATTGGAAATCCATCTAAACTAGCGAGTACTGAGTACCTAAAATGAAGTGAGTGAAGACAAGATTTAGATAAGGATTTTTAGAGCAATGTTGATCAGTTACAATAACTTTTACATAGTTTTCAACTTTAAATATTCTAAGTTAAGCATTCTGACCTTGTTTTGTGTACTTTGGTTTTTGTTTTTAATTTATGTGTGAAAAGGGATTCCTATGATCTATAGACTAGAATTGGAGTCCTGTTGTGGTGCTGTGGATTAATGCACTGAACTGCAATGTTGGTTTGAACTGCAAGGTCAACAGTTCAAGCCCACCAGTCGCTCCTTGGAACCCCTATATAGGGTCGCTATGGGTTGGAACCAATTCAACAGCACATAACAACAACAACAACATAGACTAGAATTAAAGGAGCAAGTTTTATACCTACCATGTTGCCCTAAACTTGTATTAAGAAAAGTCAGAAGTAGCTCAGTGTGTTGGGGATTGATATTTTTCTAAATCCATCACAACCAGTTCTTTATTCCTAACCCTAGTTACCTATTTGCTTCCACTTGGCAATTGAAACAGAGCTTTCTATAGCTTTTCTTCATTAAAGTAGCTGATGCACACTTAAAGTCTCCCACTGTTTTTGATAGTTGAAATGACCTTGTCAGTTTCTAATATGAATTTATTTGAAGTTAATTGCATATACTCACCTGAAATTAGAAACTAAACCATCTTATAATATGCAGTGTAAAATGATGTTTCTGCAAACAAAACAGTCCTGGGAATACCACAATCCTTTCATTTAGTTAGCATAGATGCTTCCAGAAGTGGATTTTAAACAGAGGCATTCAGAAATTCATAGTCCCCAGGGAGGTAGAACTGACACAGATTCGGGGATGGGGGCAGGAGCTCTTGGGTTTTATATAATCACCGTGGTTCCAGCCTGTTGCTTCCCCCACCACCCCCACCATGCTCAATGTTTTCCTTGACCACCAGGGAGGGCCCTTAGTGGTAATCTTGTGTTCATCTGACTCAACCCATTAGTCTTTGATAGCTTTCTTGCTTTCTGACTTCATTTTATATTTCTTGCTCTAGAACCAGCCATTCATATATGAAACTCTGGGGGTTTTTTGGTAGGAATGTTTGAGGCCACAGTCTGGGTACTAACTTGTTCAGTGTGCTTGGGTTTCCATTACTTCATGGTCTTTCCAGTGATTAGTGCTAAAAAAGGTATGTATTTAAAGAAACAAAGTCATGAGAACAGACTCTTATTTCCAACTCAAATTTAACATTCAAAGATTTTTACCTCTTTGGCTGTATAGTTTTTATCTTTTACACTGAAAGTCTTGGATCCTAAACCACATAATCACTTACTTACATTATCTTTTTTAAGTTTTTATTGTGAATTGAGTGAAAGTTTACAGGGCAGATCATCAGTTTTACATTTACCAAATCATATACTTCGTTTCATTACAGTGATTATAATCCCCTCCATGTACCATCAGTTAACAATATTTCTTTCTTTTCATTTTAGCTCTTATTTATTTACTTACTTGTTTATATAAAACACCCAGGCATGTATAATAATTTATACCACCAAAGGGCACATTCTGCAAGTCTGCCTCCTGGCCGCCAGCTCCCAGTCCCTCTCTTTCCATGAATCTAGAGTCCTCAACTGCTCCCTCTCTTCATGTCCCCAACTCTGCCTCCATCTCTGGTGTCGCTGCTTCTCTGGATGGGGTCCCATATTCCACTTGTGCTCTTCTCCCTTGATGGTCCTACGGTCCTCTGTTTATGGACTGTAAGATTAACTACTCTTCTATTTTTGTTACAAAATTTCTACCTGTACAATTGTGACAGTCTCAATTAATCATGATAACAGTTACTAACTATTGAATCATAAGAATCTTATCCCCATCTCTTCTTACTGACCCATCTAGACAAGATGACAGCTATTCAGTGGGGACTCTTTCTTTCCCCCCATACTTTTAAACTAAACTCCCTCTTGAAACCTTGTAAGCCAGTCACTTCTTGCCTTTATCACCCTTTATCACCCCTTCATTTTAGCTAGTCAATGTTTAAGTTGCCCATCCCTGTCTACCCTGTGTACAGAGGGGGGGGATAGCATTGACACTTGATATGAAGACTCCTTCCATCTCTGTTGGTACTTTGAGCTGCTACCTCCATGAGTATTGATCAAGTTCATCAAATTGTAGCAATTTGCCCTTGTTTCCCTTATCAAAAATTGTTTGTTTTTTATATCTTCCTGTAGTCGATTTTTGATTATTAAGCCGTAGAGGGTAGGTCAAATGAGTACTATCTGCAGGTTTGGGCGTTCTTGTGTGTCTCCCCTCACTTCATATCAGCTGGATGCCTCACTCAGCTCTAGCCCTCTGTGGCTATGTCCTTGTCCATGGGCTCAGGGGTGTCCCCAGGTCTCACCACACTTTGGACCAACCAACTCTTCCTCTTCTCTCTCTCATCTCCAGGTCAACGGGAGTCTGCTTGCATTATCTTTTTATATATATAAAATGTTTCTAAAAGAGCAATACCAGTATTATTACTAATAACTGTAAACTACTAAAGATTTATTTTCCTTGTTTTGTTTGCTTTTTGTCCTTAGCATTTATTATAAGATACAATATATATTATGGCTAGAAGAGACATTAGGTAATTCACTATCCCATACGTGTGAATGCTTATCCTTCCAGCCCTTTTCTCTGTTCATGAAAACAGTTGTTAATGTCAAAAAATGTAATTTTTGAACTGTTGTGCTGGACTGTCCCCTTAACAAAAGCTGATACATTTACAAATAGAGTGCTACAAAGAAAACTTTTCTGGTGCCTCGTATCGAAATGAGAAAGTACTCATTCGTTCAGAAACATTTTTAAACGTGGAACTGAGGAAAAATAAGTTATTAGATATCATTTTGTGTAAGTGCCATCAAGTTGGTTCTGACTCATAGCAACCCTGTATAGGATTTCTGGGGAGCAGCTGTTAAACTCAAACTGCCGACTTTGTAGTTCAAACCGACCTTGCAGTCCAGAACATTAACCCACAGCGCCATACCAGGGCTCCTAGTAGATATCATAATAGTTGTTAAATATAAGTTTATTAAGCATTAATCAATTCTATTAAAAATGAATTAATAAAATAGCGTTGCTAATAACTACATTATTCAAATGCAATCCATTGAGTTTTCTCTCTAGAGCTGTCGACACTTTGTAGTGCCTTTTTGTTATTATCTTAAAAATGGGATTGGAAATGGAAATGTCAGGTTGTATGAGGAGACTTCAGAAAGTTAGTGGAAAAATTCCAGTAACTTTCAATTCCATGTTTCTACCAACTTTTTGAAGCCTCCTCTTATTATGTAAACATTCTTATCAAATGTAACTGCATTATTTTTTTTATCAAAAACTGTCATTCAGAAAATTTCCCCATCTTCCCATTTTTTTTTCAAATTGCTTGAAGAAGCAATTGCTGTATTATCTCTCATTTGTTTCATTTACACTATTTTCTTTTTTCTAGGTATTTTTTGACTTAATGAGGGAAATTCGAGCCAGAAAGATGGAAGACAGCAAAGAAAAAAATGGAAAAAAGAAGAGGAAAAGTTTAGCCAAGAGAATCAGAGAAAGATGCTGCATTTTATAATCAAAGCCCAAACTCCTTTCTTATCTTGATCATACTAATAAATATAATTTATAAGCATTGCCATCGAAGGCTCAATTGACTGAAATTACTTTAACATTTTGGAAATTGTTATGTGTCACTAAAAGCATGAATTGGAACTGCAGTGAAAGTCAAATTCACTTTAAAACGAAATTAGTGTGGCTTCACCAAGAAGCACAGCTCAAGCTCTCTCATAATTGCCTGCATTTATCACAGTCCTGAATGTAACGTGTGAGCTTATGTTTCGAGGGCATTTATCACGGTCCTGAATGTAACGTGTGAGCTTATGTTTCCAGGGCAGTCCTCCTTGGACTGTTGAAGAGAGGTGAGATGTGGGGATAGGAGGAAAGGCTCCTTCCTCTGGCTTATTATAAATCTTAAATTTTATATCATTTGAAAATGTCTTGGACTTCTACTGCCTTGAAAACTGACAATTGTGAACATGATAGTTTAAGTGTACCACTTTTTAAAACCATTGTTATGCAAAATATAGAAGAACAAGTGATTGGCATGGTTGTTGCATATTGTTAATTGAGAGTAATTCATCTGTGAACCTGCATTAATTACCTGGTGATTAAGTTAGAAAAGTGGTGTAAACTTGTATATGAACATTTTTGAATATGCCTTAATCTAAAAACCGAAAACTAACCCAGTTCCATTACACTGGGTGTCCTCCCTGGCTCTGTGGGCCTATGACCCCGTGTGTCCTGGTGAGAGAATACATGCCTACTACTATGGAGTAAAGCTTTTATAGAGAAGATTCTTGGAAACAGCTGTCTTCTAGGAGTCTGTCCAAATTTGAAATGTGTGCCATACTCTGGTTCTTGTAAACAGGGTTCCAGAGCTCCTTGATTGCTTTCCATACACTATAAGGTAGTTTAAAATGAAGGGCCAGCAGACACTTGTAAGATGATTTTAGACCATGAAGGATTCAGCGACCAGTTATGCGTCAGTCTACGTTTTTTTCTTTTAAGCTGCTGGTCCCTAGAAATCCCCTTCTGCAAGTGATGAGCATGGAAGTGTTAATATAAGTTGATTTCCTTGGAGCAAGGCACAGGAAAACCATCCATAGTGCTCTATGCATTTTGTACTAGGGCACTGTGGGAAAATCATCATGCTTGCCACTGTTCATTTCTAAATTTGTTCTCATGAGGTAGCGGCGTGACAACACAGGAGTTATTCCAAGTGCTGCTGTTTAGACTGAAGAGCACTGGATTTTCCTAAAGTTAACAGTAAACTTGTATATAGTGCAGAAAACACGTTTGGCACCTACAGACCAAACACTGGGCCTGTGTGCTATGTCACCATTGTGTGGTGTTTGCTCCCACTGGAAGAATTCTAGCACCTTATTGGGTGATGTAATTTCAGTGGGCTATATACCACTGTCAAATTTTCTCTCCTCTTTGGAATAGGACAGGACAGTTGATTGAACTCAGTTTCTGCTCCTTTTTGTTCGGTCCTAATTTCAACAGGCCAATCAACAGGTCAAAGATGTGTTCAGGCATTCCAGGTAACAAGTGTGAACGTAAAATTAGCAGAAATAGGCATTTAGGAACTCATTTCTTTAGATATTACATCTGGCTTGTCATGTTCAATATTTGTCCTTCAAGAGTTTGAGATGTACATCTTTCATTTCATATTTTCATAGGCTGTGCCATGTGCAGAATTAAAGTTACCCATGTAACACTGGCCCCATGGGGGCCAGCCAGTCTCCATGTGTACTCATCACTGTCGTATTTAACCAGGGGTCCTAACCACTACCATTGTGACTTTGCTTTGACACCTTTCCTCTCCTGGGTATTGAGGTGCTATGAAGCCAACTGAAAAAGATGCATCACGTGTCTTCGGCTGATGCCACTACCCGATTCGTTTATTTGCAATTTGAGCCATTTAAAGACCAATAAACTTCCTTTTTAAAAAAAGTTTGTGGTGTTACTTTATGTGTACCCGTAAGGTTCAGACTTAGCCAGCTGGGCATCTTTACCAGATATTTAAAAATACCCAAATCTTGTCAGCTGTCATATTTGGGGATTTCTTTCATGTAATGCAAATTATCCTAAACAATATATCATTACTTAGGCCTTATCAGGGCTTGGAAATGAAAGACTCCTGCGGATACAGTTATGTAAATAAAAGGTACTCTTGAGTGTGATAGCATTCTAAAGTGATATGCTGTAACAAATGTGTACATCACTTTTAGAATGCCACTAAACTCCAGAATGTATATATAGGTTGTTGCTATTAAGTGCCATCGGGTCAGTTCTAACTCATAGTGACTCTATAGGGTTTCTGAGGAGCGGCTGGTGAGCTTGAACTGCTGTCCTTGCATTTCATACCGACTTTTTGGTTGAGTGTTTAGCCTACAGCGCCACGCCAGGAGTTAACACTGAAGTAACACACTTGGTTACATTTCTTCAAAACTTGGAGCCATTTTCTTTCACATTTCATGTCTGATGGGAAGAGTGGCCTGTTAACTATCCAACAGCCTCTGAGAAGCACTTGAACACAACCTTTCGAAATCTAGTTTTAATTTCTTAACTCATAAGCAGCCCTAGGAGAAATACATTTTTGTTATGATTGGTGTCACTTTAATCTCATTGTGTGGACCATTCTTAAATCAACATGGGATGTGATATTAAATACATCAAACCAAACAAATGGCCTCAAAATGTCATTATCTCAAAATTTTATGACATAGATGGAAAAACAAAATGTGGCAACTTTAAAGTTTAAAGGTAAACTATCAAAGCATAAGAGTTCATGTTACTAGGTGCTTCAGAGTGATGCTATATGACAGAGCAAAATAGCCCCTGGAGGTTTCCTAAATTGTAATCTTCACAGGAAGGAGCAGATCATCTGGGCTTCACTGGTGGCTTCAAACCGCAGACCTTTTAGCAGCTAAATGTTTAAACATTCCACCATCATGAGTCCTTTAAATTCCTGGTAGAGGTTTCAAAGTAATCCTTTTTCATTTAATCCAGTGTCAAGTCTCCTGTAGCCACCTATAGGTCAATAGAGATCTTCATTCATGCCTTTAGTTAACACTGTTATGGATGAGGCCCTGGAAAAGGTCACCATACTTGGTAAAGCAAAGAGTCAGCAAAAATGAGGAAGTTCCTCACGAAATGGATTGACACAGTGGCTGCAACAATGGGGCTCAAAACACTAGGCAACAGTGAAGCTAGTGCAGGACCAGGCAGTGTATCATTCTGTTGTGCATGTTGTTAAGTGCCGTGGAGTCGGTTCTGACTCATAGTGACCCTGTACAGGGTTTCTGAGGCTGTAAATCTTTACAGGAGCAGAATGCGTCATCTTTCTCCTACGGAACAGCTGGTAGTTTCGAACTGCTGACGCTTGTGGTTCGCAGCCCGATTCGTAACCACTACGCTACTAGAGCTGCATAGGGTCACTATAAGTCAGGATCCATTCGGTGCCTTCTAGCAATAATTGTAGGTACTGCTGGGAATACTCAGATGAACAACCAGTGTGAGTTGGAGGCCATTACAGAGGTCCCCACTGAAGAAAGTAGGCATGTACTTACAAACATGAAGAGGAAGTGCGGTTGAAAAATTAGAGGTTATACCTGGCTCTCCTTGTTATGCACTAGACCATCTCTTACATTTGCCAACCTATAAAATAATGGCAGACAACATGGAAGACACCATGTATTTAAAGTTAATACTTAACCCTATGAGTAGGTACTATTGTTGGTCCCCATTTTGCAGATGGAGAAACAAACAGAAGTTGAATAACTCACCAAGGCCACATAGCAAATCATCATTAACTGGGATTGGAAGCAACATAGTCTAGCTCCCAAATCCAGGCTCTTGATCACTGCACAGTTGAAGGAGCTGAGACTCAAAACGGAGCTGAGACTATTAATTCATTAGCCTGTATTAAGGTGAGAAACGCCCAAGATTTGTCAAGGAGGTAGCCACGTATTCAATGATTGTCTTCAGAAAGCTTGCAGAGGTTGCTGTGTAGGCAGCAAAGAGATATAGTGTGCGTACATCCTGGTTGCTAAGAGAGCAAGTGGTGAGAGGGAAAATCCAGTGTAGAGCTCAGCTGTGGTCAGGCTTTCCAATGCTTTTTCCATAACATCAGTAAGGAGGCAGTGTTCTTTGGCAGCCGAGAAATTTCATCCAATAGTTTGTTTTTACTGTAAAATAATTTCCTAGTCCTTCAGTCCAGCAACCTTGTATGTAGCTGTTGTTGACACCTGCCTGTAGATACATAGCAGACAGCAAGGAGAGGGTTTGCCCACCTGTAGTTTTCAGTCTTTACAGAAACACCTGTCTCTAGGGAAGTTGAGGGTGCTAAGGATCTTTGAACACCTGTTTAGGGAGGCTGAGAGAGTCGCATGGCTAATCTGACATATGGAGAAGATTGTTTTTATCAAAAGTCCCAAAGAAACAAGCTGAAGTGTTGAATAAATTAATCAGTGCCACGAACATTTAACAGTAAATATTACTAAGGACAGAATGTTTCAAAGGAACAAAAGAGGCCAGGCCTGGTGGACTGGATAGAGAAGGTGTGAGAGCTCCCCTCTGCTGCACCTCAGCTGGAAGTAACTGGTCTGTGGAAGATGTGCTGGAGAATCGCAGGTGGTCCCCTCAGTTGCAGCAACACATGTCAACTCTTTGTTAATGGATCCATCTTTCTAAGGGATGCTACATTTAATGGAAGGTAGTTTAGGTGGTTTTCTTAAAGAGTCCTAGAATTTGGCCTAGAGGGGGCTTTAGAAGCCATCCATCCTCAGTTTGTTGTTGTTAAGTACCGTGGAGTCAATTGCGACTCATAACGACCCTGTACAGGGTTTCCGGGTCTGTGAATCTTTATGGGAGCAGAAAGCTTCATCTTTCTCCCACAGAACAGTTGGTAGTTTCAAACTGCTGACTGTGAGATTAGCAATCCAATCCATAACCAGTTAGGAGATTTGAAGGTCAGAGAAGAGAAATAACACTACACAAGATGATACAATA